TAGACTAACTACTTTCCTGATGAAGTACCTCCAATGGGAGGTCTCTTCACTCCGTCATTCCTGTTGTTTTTATTATTATATCAAATAAGCTTATTGTTCTAATTTGTAACAGATTGCTAAATAAAGAAAAAAAAAAAAGTCTGAATGGTTCTATTATTGGATAGTCTCCCTTATCACGCTATTCTGTTTATTATATTGTATTATATTATTATATTGTTTTGTTGTAAACACTACCACATTTACTTATTGTGTTTTTGTTTATATAGATAGTAAATTTAAAAAAAAAAAAAAAGTATAACTCATGGGTCACAGCCAACGGAGTATTATATATTAATATCTTATCCATAATAATATAGTACAAAATGTCTATATATAGTATATTATACGGAATAAATCGTGTGTATAAAAACAATAATTGCTCATTGAACGCTGATTCCTTATCGTAAATATTCTACGAAAACAAAATAGGTACTAGTTATTTATAATCAATGGTATAATCAATATTATTGCCAAATAATATAGGCAATGTCTACGAATTGAAAATATAAATAGACCTGTTGGCTGTTGAATTTTAAATTAATTTGATTTAAAATCGTTTTAATTATAAAAATGATTTTGATTTTGATATAAAATATCGATTTTAATTTTTTTCAATTTTAATATAAATCATGAAAATTATTACCAACCATTAACGATTTTGATATTGATTTTAATTTTCTAAAAGATTTTTAACGATTTTTATTGATATTTAAAATCAATTTCATGCCCTGCATTAATAAGAAGATTACGAGAATTTAATATTTAAATAAAGTTAGCTTCAAATTTGTTAATCAATGGTTTTAAATTGCATTTATTATATTTTATTATTTGTATTTCGTACACCTAAGAGATGACTAGTTGACTTCCAAATCGACGATTTAAAATTGTATATATTTTATTATTTTTTTTAACACACATTAAATGAGAACCAATTCGGCTATATCTAATAAAATACCTTTTTCAAACGGGAACCAATTCAGCCATACCTAATTAAATACCTTTTTCAGACGGGAACCAATTCGGTACCAGCCATGTGTTCGTTTCTGTAGTGCTGTTAGTGCCAGGCAGTGATACCAAACACGTATTTTTTTGAGGCAGTTCGCCCCTTCATTTAACTATGGTGGTGGGTGTCTGGTGTTTGGGTGGGTGTGGGGTGAGTTGGGTGGATAAATTTAAACTCTTCTTAATAAATCTTAGGAATGTACAAATTAGTGACAGTCGATCTGTAGATGATTAGATGTTATGATGCGATAGAGCAATTCGCTCTTTATACCATATAAAGTATAAAGACGTACATTGACATTTATATTATATATTTCGCACACATGATGAAGTTAAACCCCTATCAGTTATCAGTGTTTAAAAGTGATTATACAGCATGCAAATACATCTTTTATATATTTTAAGATAGTTATTTAAATTACCAATAGCCTCGTGAAACATTTTTGAAACATATTTTTTTAAATTATAGTTGTTGAAAAAATGAAATAAACTGTTTTTTGTTTTATATTTTTTTAATTTTAATAACGTATTTAATATTTAAATAATTAAACCTATATTTATATACACTTCAAATTGGTATTAAGTGTTTTCTTCTAAAATAAAGGTAAGCAATATGTAAGGTAAATAGGTAATAATTAATACCTAATTTATAATTATCATTTTCAGTTTACATGATTATTGATTTATGATAAAATATGATGTATTTTACTCGATCATAATTTATATTATTATTATCATGTGCAGTTTTAAGCGACATATTTAACAATAAATACAATCGTATTCTAAAACAGACTTAATAATGGGGGATGTCGGTTATAACCCCCTTAATCCCCTTCAGTGGCGTAAAATGGATCCAATTTCTGGTGATGCAGAGGCATATTCTCAACTTATAATTTCCAACACACAAATTTTCCAATTTCCTAAGTAAAATTTTTCCTAATAAACTATATATTTTCCCATATACGAGTACATATATCTTTAAATAACAAATATATTTTGAATTATTTTAGCAGTAAAACCTTTATTATCATAATATTAATAAAAATAAAAACAATCGAATTTTGTTTTTTAGTATGCTGATATCCTTGGCTCTTGAAAATAATATTATAGGTAAACAAATTTTAATAATTTTCTGGTGTAAAAACATATCTTTGTACCACCACATTTTAGATGTAGTGTTGCAAGTACCACATTTGCACCACTCGGTTTACGCCACTGCTGAATAGTATCTACCTAATAGATGAAACTGGAATGATAAATTGCCAGCAAAGCGAGCGACTTTATGATGGTTAAATTTACAATATAATCATTCAATCATGTAACCAGTCATTATTTTGCTCTAACTTTTTAGGTGGTGGCATTAACAAATTTTTATAACTTGCCCCACCAAATAAAATACAAGTCGACGCCACTGGTGCCAGGTATACCTAACAGTTATGCGTTTTAGTACAGAATTATGTTGTATTATAGTTATGTTGTTATATTACATGACTTAATCATCGAAACATGTGAAACGGGATGTATTAATGTACAATATAATATTATACTTTTAACGTTTCGCGTAATTACAATTTGAGTTCGATATAATATAATAATGTATGGAAAAATGTCACATTACGCGATAAAAACGTCAAAGTTCCGTTCGGTTGATATTATTTCCTCTGCAGAAATATTTTAACGTGTACACGAGAGACAGATGTATGTCGTTTACAAATAGTTTTGTTTATGATTAACAACAATAATAAATTCGGTGCTGAAACACCATATGCACACCACATAACATTATTGTATCTTTTACCCGGGTGGGTAAGGGGTACACCGTCCTCGTTATCCAAAAGTGCCTCGATTATATTGTCATACATGTAGAGTCTAGACGTGGCGAGAGCTATTGTAGGCAGGTACGTTATAATGAGGTTTTCAAAATATTTTTTATTTTGTTGTTATCGTATGCAACAGGGATGGGCAACTGGCCTCGTCCGGCCTGCGTACTTTTTTTAACTGGCCCGTGATACATTTTCAAATGACTTCATAAGATTTAAGAGTTTATTGGCATTTCGTTTTATTAAATTGATTGTAAAATGTAGATATCACATATTCTTATCCAGTATTGAACTGCAGGTAAATTATTAAATGTCTAAATATAATATCCGTACATAAATACTCATATCTGCATAGCTAACATATCTATAGGTTTTAGGTATTTATTTTATTATAGTGGTTCAGTTTTAAAATTAAATTATATAAAATAAATGTTAAATGTCTATTATAATGGTATTTTATTTTATTTTTTCCTTTTTTTTACTCTGATCCACTGCTTGAAATGGATTGAAACGCACGGCTTTCCGATTCGCAATATGGCATCCGTTCCGGTTGGTTAAAATTAAAATCTAAAAGTTCGTAAAAAATATTAAAAAATAAATTTCCATGCGGTAAAACATTTCTGAAAGTATCACAATCAAGAGGTTTAAAATTATCAAATTTCCTTTCTACAAACTAACAATATAACTAACAATATATAAGTTATATTTATATAGAAGGTTTGCCGTTAATGATGTTCTAATTTAAGTTACTAGAATAAATCATTTTGAAATATTTTTGAAAAAATTGTATTCTTTATATCACCATTCGCCAAAAATGCATAATGAGTTAAGACAAATAACAAGTTCTTTAGAAAAACGAATTTTTAAAAATAAAAATAATTTTATTTTCGTTGGATTGCATCTAGTAAACAAACTATAAATGCTTATAAATAATAATCATAAATTATTTTTCCGATTTTTTATGAACACATTTTAAATCTGCTTCAATAGATTTAACTAGATATTTAAAAAAAAAAGCAAATACAACGGGTTAAAATTAACGATCTCTAGCGTTGAATTTGTCAGTAATCTTAATGCAATGTCGTACACTTTAGATGAACCTGGAGATTAATCGGAGTAATTTGCAAAGGTATAATGTAACTCTTATAGCCATTATAATATATTATAAAGTTATTGGAACAACAATAAGAGTATTTGATTCGATGGTGAACAATCCTGGACATAAGCTAACAGTCACTTTACAAACGATTGAATTTAATATTTATAAAAATGTTTCCATTAAAAATGGAAAGGCAAAACAAATTATTAAAAACCAACTATACAGAGGTTTAGCATATCATTTAAGAAATTGGATAATAACAACCAATTCATTATAAGTAAGGAGTCAAAATGAAAAATATCAGTAGGAACACATATATAATTATATAGATTTACTCGATAGTATTAGCATACTTGTTCCAAATAAATGGGATATTTCCGATTATGGTGAAGATGAAAATACGTATTCAATTTGGATATGATAAAATATGACACCACTTGTGAAGAAACTTTCAATTAAAAAAAAAATGTATATATTGTTCGGGGTTTTCGAATATACAAATTGGAAGGTTGGAAGGAGGATAAGAAGGTGTTTTGGACAAATAAAAAATACTTTTTAAAACCGTAGCTACTATTTATATTTCAACAAGTGAGTACAAGCAAAATTTCAGCTCAATATATGATATAAAACCCCCCTAAGATCTTTATTAAATATTAGCATACTCTCGGTATTTTTATTTGTTAATTTTTTTGGTCCTCCGCTCACTGAATTGGTCCTGAAAAATACGTAGGCTCACGATTAGTCAAAGGTAAACATTCTGTTGATGACTGTAAGTCACAAACGTGAAAAAAAAGTTACAAAAATACGCAGGGGGGAAATTATTATAAGATATTCAATTTTAATCGTATAGTTACATTATTTTAAGCTTACTGTTTTTATATTATTAATCTGTTATACATTATTAATAATAATATCTATTTAACTAATTATATTTTATTGTAAATTAAACACAAATTAAAATAATTAAAATTAAAAATGTATAATATCAGCATATTAATCTAATGAGCGTTTCGGTTCGTATAATTTTCCATTTTGAGCACTGTTCTGACCTTCCAAATTTTAAAGCTCTATAAATTGGCCCTTCAGTTACTTTGAACTGCCCATCTCTGGTATGTAACATAATGTTCGTTATATTGACGTTCTGAAACACACGCATCATGTTATTTTCTCTGTGAGATTATTTCGAAAACGAAACCGACAATTCGAGCAATTCGACTGATTAATTTTATCGGTTTCTTATTATGATATGAACATGTGTTTCATTTCGGCTAATGCATTTTTTTTTTTCGTATGTATTTCATATCTTTACAACATTATGTACACGGTAATGAAGTGCACGTAACAAACAACAAGGGTATTCAAATAGTTTCACGGGACTGTGTTAATCTTTTGAAAAACGAACACGTAATACGTTACATATAATATATATATATATAGATATATAAAGTGTCGTACTTTAAATTTTCTTAAGAGGGGGGGATGGATTCAATTGTAAATATATTTTTTATGCCAATATTAAAAGTTTATTTTTGTACCTCCTCGGACGAAAAAATAATGTTTTTGTGATTTTCTAGAGCAATTTACAAAAAAAATATTTGGAACCTGTGAAAACCGTGAAATGCTTATAATACGCCTTTACATAACGTCCTTGGCAAAGGTTTGATTTCGATTCAATCTTTTCAATTCAGAAAAAAATTAACAAGAAATCTAAAATGTTATCATTCGTTTTTTTATTCTAGTGTTGTAAATTTCAACATACAATGTTTGATTTTTGGTTTTTAATATTGGTGTACTATTATTTTTTTAAACCTATTGAAAATCAATAAACCGAAATTGTATAATATGACACTTTAATCTCAGCTCAGAATTGTTTTCGCTTGCAATGATTGATCATTATACTTTAAACATACCATCTCCAACTATCTGACATCTGTGTTTTGTCCGTTCACTGTATCTCATCCATCTCCTGTGTCAGCATTCTTCTGAAATAATACCCAATTGTTTTAATTTTCAAATGAACAATATCATTAAAAAATTAAAATCTTATTAATTTTTGTTTATTTTATGGTAACGGAAAAACGCGAATAAAAATCGACAGTTAATTTGAAAATATAAACAGAATCAATATAATCAGACTTGTATCATTATAAAATTAAAAAAAACCCAAAAGGAGAAGTAAATTTCTTGGTAATTTATCTTCTTCTTTGTTCTTCTTTTTTTTCTTTTTTGGTAAAAAGGAATATCTGGGGTTACAACGATTCGAGAGTAGGTCGGAACAACTGAGTATTCTCGAAGCTGATTGAGGTAGTAATTATCATATTCATGGTTGGTTTCCAGATTTCTACGAATCTGATAATAATTATAACAAATATTATACGAACAATGTAGGGTCGAAATGAAGCTAAACAGATGCAGGATTTGATGTACTAATACAGTACTGATCTCACGGAAATTGCACTTATATACTGTGTTTGTAGTTGTGCTGCACCGAAGTAAAAAATCTGCTAAGTATGTATGCAGTGTCAGTATGTAGACGGAATTATTTGTTTCAAACCATTATTTACAAAAGGTACGGCAACTAGCAGTAAATGCATTCGCAACTTGCAACTCATGTGACTGTCGATCGACAGCTTTGTTGTCTACTCTCGAAGGGCGACATGCACGTGTTGTCGAAATGATTATGACGGCGAAATGATCCTGCAACCAGAGGGCGGCCTTTTTTAAATCCCTATTCAAGACAATAGTTTACTAGTAACTGTGCCGTTAGGTTGGGCCCTAATTATTTTAACTGCATTTTGTGTGCACGTGCCGAAACAGCCAATATTCATTAAACTATAGATATAAATTATATGTATAACATAAATTAAGGAAAATTGTGGATAACATTATTAAGTGGTGTATATCATTATAAGTATAAGATACTTATTCAAATAAAACTGATAAATCATTTTTTTTTGATATTATTGACCAGTCGACATTTTGATTTACTTTAATTTTTAATTTTTTTTTTACATTCTTTTCGAATGGTACCGATTTTTTTTTCCTTATTTATTATCACGATTTTTATACAAGCATCACATTTAACCGACTCAATTTTTTATTCATCCATAAGTCATGCGAGTATTTAATACCTTTTATAAGCTCAACTGTTCATACGATTATACGTGCAAAGCTTTGTGGTGCGCATAGGTAATCTTTTTTTCTGTGTGTATACCACACTGCGTTATCCGATTTCGCATCCTTCAGGTTGTATATACGATACTGCAAAGGAAATATCATAATTGAAATATACTCCGTGACCACAATAAAATGAGCCAATTTTTTTTTTAATCCTTATGCGATAAATTTAGCGCATTGAAGCGTATTAATAGAGCATGTCAATTATTTTTAATGCGATGCGCGAGGCTAGGTGGTTTATGATTACGAATTAAGTCAAACTATCGCTGTCGTTACTATTTCACAGTCGCTTTATTTTAACAATATCTTCCCAATGAGTATGTATATATAAATATATACTTGGGGAAATGGGCAGAGTTGTGATATGGAGTTCTGATGCTATTTTAATACAATTATTTTTGATTGATCTCAACGAGACGTTACTATATATAAATATGTATATCACTGTTATATATAAAATTATAGATCATTAACCAAATAATTGACTTGAAAGCACTTAGTATAATATGCATGCATACACGCAGAATATAAAATTAAAATATCTTATTATGTTGCCAATTTAAAAGATAAATAAAGAAATCATAACGAGTACAGTTATAAATAAAAAAATATAATTTATGTGGTAATAATTACGAGATTAAGGTTCTACGATGATAATAATTATTATTTTAACCTCATATTATTATTATATATAATATATTATTTGTATAAGCTGACCAAAATGATTAGTGTTACTTCTCAAAAAATTACCCTGTATCTATACTTATAAAATGTACTTAATTCTCATAAATAATGGTTTTTTTAAGCAAGTACATGCCGGGTAGTTCTAATGATATAACGCTGTAACGTCTATAACTCTATAAAAAGATGAATGTTTAGTATGTAATATAATATATTTAAACAGACATTAGTATAACTTAATAAATTTAAAGAATTTCATGCAATTTCACAATACATTTTTACGTAATACCTGACTCAATGATATTTAAATTTGTTCTGCTTTCTGTTTCTAAATTTTCAGTTACAATAATATAATGTAACCAGGGGTATAGCTTCGGGAGGAGGACAGGAGTATGCATTTGCCCAACCATGTATTTTAAAGTAGCTTTGAGCCGGTTTCTGGATCCAGATTAATCCAATATTACAATATATTACCATTGATTAAATATTTAATCAATGATATTATATACAAATCATTATGAGTACAGATTTATCTTAATAGTAATCTTCTATAACACATAAGATGATCACAGAAATACATTAAAACAAATAAATTATAATGATAATATTAGCTGTATTATTTTAAATTAAAAAATTAATCAAAGAAAGATTAGTTTGAATAAAAATCTTTTAGCATTATATATGGAATCAAAAATTGGTTAAGATTTTAAGACAAATCATTCAGTGTTGAACAGAGAATTAAAAATAATTTTTTTCAGCAGTTCCCAGGTAGGTTTGTAAAAAATGCCTAAATCTTCAAATTTTGAAATTGTTTATATAATTTGTTTGTTTGATAAATATTTTTCTTTTTTCTTTTCTTAATTTGTTAATGAACTAGATATACTATATAAATAGATACTTCAATGATACACATAACAATATCTATTTATGTTAACTAGCAACGTTTTCCCTTCTATAAGCTATGAATATTTTAATTTCAATTGCCTATTTCTTGATGGCTTTTTACAATAATACAAGCCCTTAAATAAGTACTGAAATCTAAATATCTTAGTGTTAAAGAATTACTTTCAGGTATTTTAAATAATGACAATGATGATGGCTCTCATAATCATTATTTTATTTCAAATAATATCACTCCAACTGCCTAAAAGTTACTCTGAAACATTAAAAGTAATCACCATCCTTATGGCTTTACTCGTTTCCGCATCATCTAATGAACGCATTTTTTCATCTCTCAAACGAATAAAATCATACTTCAGACTAACTATGGGAGATAATCCTCTAAATGATATATTGGTTATTGCTGTGGAAAGTGATGAAACATCTATAATTAATTTAAGCAAAGTACTCGACATTTTTACAAACATGAAATATCGCCGATATCCATTGACATTTTAAAACTACTGATTTCATATGTTTTTATTATTTGATAATGCTTTTAATTACTAGGGCTGTGAATTTAATGCACTAAAGAACATTAAAAAATGCATTAAAAATTTCCAAAAAATGCAATAAATATACACTTAAAATGCAAAAAAATTTAATATAAAATGCCAAAAATTATAGTATAAAATGGCTTTTAATTTAATTTTTATATTTATATTAATATTAGATACAGGATATTATACATTAGTACATTAAATGCGTAAATAAATGTTTATTTAATAAAAAAAAAAAAAAAAACGATGATTAAGAAAAATAATCGAATTTGACTTTTCTGTATGTACTATATTTTAGTATTTATTTTGTTAAAATAATTAAAAAAAACTTTAATATATTTATTTTCGGGTACCTTATTTAGTCTTTAGAATTTGATTAAAAATACCAGAAAATTAACTAAAAAAGGAAAATATGACCTAAAAAATTATAAACATGAAAAAATGCAAAAAAATGCAAAATTAAAATTGTATAAATGGATTCGCAGTTACATAATTTAAATTATGTTTTTACAAAGCTACATTTTACAATCACCAAAAAAAAATGCACTTTCTTACAAATTCTTAGCCCTATTAATTACACATATTATGCATGTAGATATGGTTATTGTTTTCGTTTGATTTAAATGTACTACAAAAAAATAAAGGTTACTGTATCTCATAATTGTTTATTTCTGTCATATGTATTAATTTTAAATGAAATGACTATAATTTATAGTTGTTATATTAGTGAAATAATGGTGTTTGATGTATATTTTATTTGGAAACTGTTATTAATACTTTTAATTTTTCAGTGTACAGTTTACCGAAGGTTATAATATAAGTTGATATGAGTGAGAATTATGTATAATAGAATATGTTAACTAAAGTAGCTTTAGTTTGCTTAATATAAATTATTAAATAGCATTTATTTATAATTGGATGATTCATCAAGGGGTATTTATTTTGCAATGTTAAAAATGTATTCTTATTGAACCGGTCATTGTTATGTCCTATCTTAGCAAATATTGAAATGACCCACCTGAATGTATCTAATTTAAAAACTTGGCAAATATTTTTCAGAACTTACAAACACGACTATTTATTGAGTAATAATATGATTAAGCCAAATATTATTTAGCGGTTAAACACGTAATGGTAATAAATTTAAAAATTTGAAAATATGGTAGACGTAAAATATTATTAGGTATATTACAAAATAACGTTTTCTGTAATAAATAATTTACGCTTAGCTCACATTTGATTACCGTACACAATTACAGCATACACAATAAAGCATTTGAATATTAATTACGTACTAAATTACAGAGAATTCACACGCTGACACGTAGTTATAGAATAAACTGTTGGTTGCTAAGCAAATTCCTCAAAGAGAGTGTATTGTATTCCATTTCACTCAACACTATTAGAACATTATTAATTAACTATTGTTTAATATTTATAATTTATATTCACGGAAAATTCATCGTATTCCAACGACAATAATACATAGTATATGTATTTAAATTTCATTCAACAAGTTCATTCGAATCGACTTGCCACGATACTCTCTCAGTGGATCTCTTCAAAATGTATAGTAGGTAGTGAAAGCGATTGAATATTATGAATGTCTATAGTAAATTATCTGGTAAATTATTTCTTAAAAAAGTCGTCTGGCAGAAGTTTTTATAGGGCTAATTAATCGATAA